TCGATACGCTGGGAGATCGGGCATCAGACCTAACGCAGACTTAAGCCAGCGTTGTAAGTACATACATGTGAAAACATGGGTCACTTTAAGAACACGACAGTTCGACCGTCGCTCTCGACGATGTCCACCACGAGCTGAAGCAACGCGGTGACTCCAGCAGGATTATAGTGAAAGTAGACTTGCGGAGAATCTACCTCATTCCCTCATCACTCCCCAACCGGGACCCGGTGTCACGACAAAAGTCGAGAAGGCCGGAAAAGGGGGGGGAGGGTGCAGGCAGTTGCCGCGACCAACACTCAACACGCGTACCAAAAGTACACCTCGCTAGGTAGGCTCCCGCCTGGGAGCGCCATAAAGGCCACAGTACGAAGTAGCCATTGATCCTGACTCTCAGCCTCTCAGTAATGAAATCCACACAACAAGGCACACCCTGGGCCGAGTTATCCAGTCAGTTGGCAACCCTCTAAGCCACGGCTTTTAGCGCGCCATGATAGCTTCAAGCGCATCAGATCTTTTTAGTGAGAATATAAATGCGCTGATGGTCAAGTCAACCTCACTCTCGCCCCTACCACCAACAACAGGTTGCCACCTAGCTGGTCTGGAACCTGAGGTGAACTTTAGAGAAAAAAAGCTGTTGGATGTGGGAATTCATGTGGGTACGTTTATTCTCAGGAGGTCTCACACTGACATTTTTGCAGAAGAGTCTGTCCAAAGCCAGTCAGAATGCGAAGTGTACTGCTTAACTCTGGCAGGCTGCTTCTCAGCCAAGAGTGCTTCTCCGTTACCTGTGGCGGGCTTGCTTGCTCGCGAATCAAAATTCGATATCCATTTATTCCCAAAGGTTATATCGAAAGTGCAGGGTGATTATTTTTCAGCAGATCAGTTCACTTGAAAGTTAGTTGCTCTATTGTGTAAACTGTGTAATGTATCGCACACTTGCACATCTAAGGTTTTCACTTTTGGTCGATAAACACTCATCGGGGCTCACGCGTCTCCTACTTCCTTGGGGCCCAATTTCGAGACCCGCCAGCGGCCACACAGGGGCCGACAAAGACGATGGAGACTGCAATGGCAACTTTTGGCTTATTAGGCTTTTATCAGCTAATGTCAGTATTCCCGATCTAAACCAGCCAGAAAACGAACTCGTGGCGGAGTGGGTTAGAGCGTGGGACGTCTAATCAACAGGTAGTGGGTTCGAGTTTCGGATGATGCATCACCTAGTGTTAGCCGTGGTTGGCTGATGACGGCTAATAAACCGGAAATGGCCACTGCAGTCTCCCTTGTTTTTATCGGCAATATTAACCAGCGTATTCACCACCGCATCTCGTGCCTAAACTGTCCTCGTAACTACACAGGATCGACTGGACGCATGCTTGGATCGCGCATATGCAAGCATAAACTGACGGATTGCCACAAGCGGCTGCCCACACCTAAGGAACGGTTCACAGGTTAAACTGCGCAGCCCCGGCACTAATCGCGTAACTTGTGTTTGATTGGTTTCTATGCCCTATAACTCCTGCCTTTTTCGTTGCCGCTTTTATCTCTGCTGGGGGACTCAAGTAAGACTTTGCAAGCTCAGACGAGGGAGCAGCCTCCACTTTCTTTGCTTGAAAATTTTTATTCGATTTTACTGATTTATTTTGCCTTTGAAAAATGGTCTATGGTACTGCAGTTTCCGATATTGGTCCTCGTGCGGGTTTCGCCGATCGTAGACGCATTTGACAAAATTAATCAGATATGCTTTCAGGCTGGAGAGGCTATTTGTAAAATTGTGAAATTCGGAGAGGTAAGGGGCTAGCTTTATCTAAAGCTAGCCTCAATGCATCCTATTTGGTTGTATTGGAATTTATTTCTCGACTGTCACAGATTATAATTTATTACCGACACTTAGCGTTTCTCGTCAGATCCTTTAAATAAAAACCAAAAGGTTCTGGTACTTTTTATGACAATTGGGTGGAACCGTGAAATGCCTCTATTTATGTACTATTATAAACATACTAATTGTTGCTGTTTTGTTTCTGAGACAAACCGTGAAGTAGTCCAGTAGACAGGCTTAGTGTTTCGAAGATTGTGAGTTTTCGCATTTCATTGAAAATTTTCAAAGCTTCTGGTTTCAAAAAAACTGCATTTGAGCATTTTCAAGTGGAACCGGTTAGTTGGTGGATAAACATGAGTCTGTGCGTCAACTGACATCTTGCCTTACGCCTGTTCAATAATAACTGGCGAATCTACGTTTAACGGTTACGTGCGTCTCCTGCGCTCAAAACTCGCTGTCACATGACTGGTTTCACTTCGAGTCACGAAAACTCGACGCTGGAGTGTCTGTACTGACGTCAAACTTATCCTTAGCCAATCAGAGACATCCACTGACAAATATTACTGACGCAGCCGTTTGCTTCGACTTTCACCCAATCACAGTCCGCCTAACTCAACAGGTGGCATGACTAAGCCTGTTTGTCGATTTTTGTCGGCGTATGTGCAGAATAAGGCTCCGGTTTGCGAAGGGGAGATTTCGGAGTTGATAATCTGCGGAACTGAAATTGCTTGCCGAAACAAATCTAAATTAGAAACGGGTCCCAGTCGTGAACCAGGCTTCAATAAATTTTCAGCTCGTCTTTTTTTCGACGTGAGTGAAAGTCTTCACAATTGACAGCTTATTAACACTTGATCGGTTTA